CGACCATTTAGTTCGTTTTGGAAGGCTTATCGTGAGCCCAATTCTCACTGTTTCCAGTTGCATAGGCGCAAACGCCTCTTCCACTGCTCCAAGATCCATTTCGGGTTCTCTGGTAGAAATTCCGGACCAATGGTTCTGGCTAAAATTATTACATACAGTGCGTCATATCAAATTACTAGTATATTGCAAACCAAGATGAATATGACGATGACAATTAAAAATGAACCGAAAATAACCAGCTCTACAAAACAGGGTCAATTAGAAAACTGACACACTTACTCATCTTGTGTAAACGGCGGATCTGATCCTCTTGAATCTAGTGATGACCCAATAATAAAAACAATACTAGTTGGCGCCAGCATCAGTGGTTTAAAAATGCTTCGCGCTAATGGCATAGTTCCCCTGCCGAAGAGCATTCCACAATGATGTGTTGGTTAGCTTTAGTTTCGCAATACTATTTGAACTATTCATTTGTCAACAGGATCTTTTTAAGTCGTATACACTTGATTGAAAACAGAAGAAAATAAGGAACACCACTAAATTGCTGGGATGTTTTTTAACTAGATTTTTTTTTCCCTGAAATACGCCATTGCAATTTAAGGTATTTTAAGACAAAGATGGGACTACATTTCCTGCTTCTTGTTCCGGCTTTGCTCTAGCTTTTTTCTATTCAATAAAATTTCACACAAACTGGCCAATTTCCCTGTGTTTCAAGTGCACATATGTGATAAGCTCCGTTAAAAGTACTGTACAAAGAATCTAGTACCCTTAAACTCCTGCCACATACCCTGCCAATCACATATGTGCTCCTGTTCTAGCTCCTAACTGATTAACGAAGCTTCTGACGGTTGTATCCTATTTTCCGCATGAAGCTTTCCGCACCGAAAAAGGCCATTTGCCTGGATGCCTTAAATCATATGCATTCAAAACGGAAATATTTCAAAACTTGCAAATGGGAGTATTTCCTTCTTTATTCAAATATTAAATGAATGAATCAGCAATAAGCAGACATAAGCAAACAAATAATAATAACAAAACAAAGTTATGAACACCCTCAAAGAAGGAAATACTTCCATTGTATGAACAATTTCAAACATTATTTTTTAAATATTCTAAACCAAACAATTGCGCAATATGTTTTGCTGATAAATGGCCCATTCTGAAATTAAAATCTGAAAAATGTGATATCACCCTTCTTACTAACTGGCTCAAAATAGAAAATGGCAAATTTTGAGGCTGCTCACTAACCAGATAAAAGGAGCACATATGTGATAAGCCCCGTTAAATGTACTGAAAAGTTACCTCTATTTCTAATTTCGATCAAAACTGATTTTCAGTTTCGATCGAAATCATCAAAAGGGGGTGACTTTTCAGTATCTTTAAACTCCCACCACAGTGTTCACTCGGCTGTCGACAAAAGCAGGCCACTCTCGATGTGTGCTACGCGATCGTCTGTTTTCTCGGCAGCAACCATTGTGTGGTCCTCCTCATTGTTCTTCATCAGCAGTTCTTTCGGTCGATGCGTCGTCGACTTTGGAAATCAACCATTTCGTGATGAGTGTGTGAGTGCTGACCACGTTTTGCGTCCATTGCTGCAATGGACGCGCTCTGACCCTCGTTGGCGTACAACAATTTGCCATACAATGAAACCACTGGAAGCGGCTCCAGTTCTGATCGAGGACGCTTTTTGGATAGCGGAAGATAAAGTGTTTATTGTGTTGTACCTTTTGACTATAGTTTTAAGATGTATTGTATAGTGACCAAGAATCCTCGGCTCTGTAAAGTTAATTCGGTTGAGCCTTATCAAATAAATTAATAAACAAAAAAAAAAAAAAAAAAACTCCCACCACATACCCTGCCAATCACATATGTGCTCCTGTTCTAGCTCCTAACTGATTAAAAAAGCTTCTAACGGTGGTTTCACATTTCCCGGAGTTTCACATTTCCCGGAGTTTCACTTCCCGAAATAGGTCATTTATACGAATGTGTCGGAAATATTTCATACTAAAAAATTTCTAATAGGAATATTGCCTTCTTTATTCAATGAAAGAAACAGCAATAAGCAAACGTAAGCATACAAATAATAATAACAAAACAACGCAATGAACACTCAAAGAAGGCAATACTCCCATTTTATAAAAGCTATTTCGAAAAATATTATGCTGATAAATGGCCAATTATTCTGAAATTAAAATCGGGGAAATGTGATATCACCCTTCTTACTAACTGGCTAATAATGGAAAATGGCAAATTTTGAGCCAGATGACAGGAGCACATATATGATAAGCCCCGTTAAATGTACTGAAAAGTTAACTCTATTTCTCATTTCGATCAAAACTGATTTTCAGTTTCGATTGAAATAATCAAAAGGGGGTGACTTTTCAGTACGTTTAAACTCCCACCACATACCCTGCAAATCACATATGTGCTCCTGTTCTAGCTTCTAACTGATTAAAAAAGCTATTAACGGTGGTTTCGCATTTCCCGGAGTTTCACTTCCCGAAATAGGTCATTTATACGAATGTGTCGGAAATATTTCATACTAAAAAAATTTCTAATGGGAATATTGCCTTCTTTATGCAATGAAAGAAACAGCAATAAGCAAACATCAGCAAACATAAGCAAACAAATAATAATAACAAAACAACGCAATGAACACTCAAAGAAGGCAATACTCTCATTTTATAAAAGCTATTTCGAAAACTATTATGCGGATAAATGGCCAATTATTCTGAAATTAAAATCGGGGAAATGTGATACCACCCTTCTTACTAACTGGCCAATATTGAAGAACAGCAAATTTGAAGGTTGCTACCTAACCAGATGATAGGAGCACATATGTGATAAGCCCCGTTTACTGAAAAGTTACCTCTATTTCTAATTTCGATCAAAACTGATTTTCAGTTTCGATCAAAAGCATCAAAAGGGGTGACTTTTCAGTACCTTTAAACTCCCACCACATTCCCTGCCAATCACATATGTGCTCCTGTCCTAGCTCCTGTCCTAGCTCCTGTCAATCCAGCTGATTTTTTTTCTGGCTAACTATTTAAATAGATCCCGTCAACTATATCCTATCTATCTTATATTCTATATCTCAACTCCTAACAACACTATTCCGAAATGCGACGATCGAGCTCACAGTAGTGGTCCTTCGAACTCCATAAGCAAACAAAATCTTCGATGCAAGCATTCTGCCACATCGATTGGTTTGCTCAGAAGGCACTCCCAATAAGGTAGAATTGGAAAGGGCCATCCAAGCACGGTCCCTAAACGAATTTTGTTTACCAAAAGGTCCCTATTCGGTGTCAATGGGTTCCGAGGAAATCGCCGGAGCAAAGATGGTAGCACAAAGTATTCGCTCGTACCCGGCTACAACACCTTTGCCTCGGAGAAGCTAAAAAATTTCGATAAATTTCGTTGGACCACCAGTGAGCTCGATCCAATAACAAAAAAAAAATCAATGCCAAACAACTAGTTAAAACAGATTTGGAATTTCCATCATACCGAGGAACACGGCCGAAGCCAAAAAGGTCGAAATTAATGATTTCCAGCCAAATAACTTATTTGCCCAATTTCGTGTTGGGCCACTGGAATTTTGAAGAAGCATCGCAGTAGGCTGCTTCAAAAACGTCAAATTTTGGTCCTCGGTTTGAATACTAGAATTTTGACGATGGGTACACTGCCGTTCTACACATAACTGTCCCATGTTACTTTTGGACGTTTTTCACTTTTGTTCATAAAACAGTACTTTTATTGGTAAACTTTCGAATGAAAATAGAAAAACATGTTATTTGTTTTGGGTTTATATAAAAACAACATCAAGTCTAATTGTCCCATGTTGAAATTCTACGCATAACTGTCACACAAAGAATTTTTTACTGAATCTTTTATTAACGAATCGATTTGAGTGTACGAATGATTGTAACAGGATTTATATGATCAAAAGAAACTCAATAAGTCATTTCGGGAAGTAGAAGCTTTATTTTATGATGAAAAGTATTAAGAGAAACGGGAATTCATATTAAAACACCAGATTATAGTTCAGATTTCAAACTGTGCATTATTAGAGTAATAATAATCAATTGATAAGAAGCAGATAAGCCAAACCAAAAGACCAGATAAACCAAAGACAAAATAACATGATTTAAAATTCAATCGTTTGTAGCAACGATGTATAAACATCTTCCAATATTGGCATGATTGAAAAAATACGTTCATTTGGTTGAATTTAATGAAATCCTTACTGTGCATGTTAACTTTTCCAAAGTCTTTCTTGAAATCATCGATCGACAATCTTATTGTTTTCTGAGTTGAGGAATTATTAAAGAAGGATGTTTTATGTCAGAGTGAGGAATTGGAGCCTTTTAAAGAGAAATATGTTGTATTTCAAGTTGAAAAATACTTTTTTATGAAGTAAAAATGAAATTTATGTCGAAACACAAAATTATCATGTTATTTTTTTATTTCTTTAATAGAAGTTAAATTTAGTCAGTGATTTAACAATAAACGATAATAACAAACAATAACGATAAAAATCAACATATTTGGTAGTCAAACGATTCAAAGTTACTATGCATCGGAATCTTTCATCGTTGGCATATTTTTAAAAAAAGACTGCTTGTCTTCTGCAACAACCGGAAGTAGCACGGACAACAAGGATTTCTTGCGTTGTTCTTGTATTCCTCGAGGAGCTTTCTGCCACTTCAGGTACTCATCCAGCAAAAAGCTATCAGCTGCAACAATTTTTTGTTGTTTCTTTGATAAAAGGTTGCAGTAGGTCAGCTGAGTGCCGTTCACGGAATCCGAATATCCAACTTCATATCGATTTTTGGTGAATTTCATCATACGAATGTCCTCAATAAACGGCCGCGGATGTAGTTGATTCAGCGTATATTGAGTAACAGTCAGCTCCGTTTTGAAGAAATCCGTTTCCTTCATGTCCAGAACTTCAACTTTTTTTTTGGCGCTTCCAACGGCTTTCTTGAAATCATCGAAGTCCACTACACGACCATGTCGCATTGAACCTTCGACCGCACCTTGAAATTGTCAGCTGCCATGAATGTATGGCCAGACTCAAAATATTTGAGTACAATCTCCTTAACATTAACATTCATCTTGTTAATGAGCAGAATAAGATGAAGAAAAAAATTCCAATTTTTATTCTGCGCAGAACAGTTATCCAACCAGAACGTTAACTTCTCGAGATGGCCATAGTTAAGAATGAATTTATGGAAGCAACTGTTAATGTCAGAACTGCTACGACCGCTGACAGATTCTGGCCAGATGCAGGCAACAACTGGAAATGTTCGTGCAAATGCCCCGACAGGTGCAAATGTCTGGTTAAAAGCCAAAATTCGTTGGGAAAAAACAATCGTTTTTAGCCCGTCCAAGCGAGGCAATTGTATTACCTAAAAATTAAAAAGGTATAGCTTTTAGTCATAGAATAAAAAAATAATCTTAATACTAGTAACTACCTTCTGGAGGTCAACTGCCATTACCAATTGGCCTGCGGTGACTGTATCTCCATTCATGCGATATTCGATCCGTGCTTGCTTAGCGTGTTCTAGGTGCTTACTGTAGTCAGAACAGAGGATACAATCGTCGGTACATTCAGAATTGTTGACATTGACCTTTTTGTGCTGCTCCATGCTGACACAAACTTCGCACTCTTCGTGACCCAACTTAACGAAAGATATATTCATTTCGTTAAGGACTCGCGAGTAGAGTGAATAGCTAACTTGGCTAGTATGCGTATCTTGGTAATGCTTGTGCATTGCCCTTTGCGATAAATCTGATGGAAGATAGCGTCTGTTAGGAGCGTGCTCTCGACGGTAATGTGAAATCGTTGGCCCGTAACTCAAGATGTGAGCTATAATAGAATCACGTATATTCGAGTTCCTGGTATACTTTCCCCGTATTGTACGGCAAGGTTCGCTATTTTTGGACCTGTTGATGCGTCGATAGATAATATTACTGAAAAATTAAAAGACGTGGTTGCCTTACAATAACTACTATTCAGTTAATGTAATATATCAAATACATACCCACAGTGTTCTTCGTACCCGAGCGTATTCAGGAAAAACTTTCGACAAACTGCAATCGGGTCATCACTGGCCGAAGGAAGGGTGCATTTGTACGATTGGGTTTTACGCAATTCGTTCGCGGGAGTACGGCATTTGCGTCGCTTTTCTGCAATAGCGGGATGTACGTACTTTTGAATAAAGTTGCTCTGATCCACTTCTCTTAGGTTCCAGAACGACTCGTGAATACTCATCCTGTCATCTCGAGACAAAAGGTTGATGCACTGTTTCCGGCAATCACAGTTCTGCAGGATAGCATTGTGCGCCAACCTGCGCCTCTTCGCAGCATCTTCGCGTAAAATTTCTTTTTTAGTCCTTTTATTAGTTTTTTTTCGATTCGGTGAATTGAAAAAGTCATCAGAGTCTTGCGCAGCTTCCCCAGTATTTTCCACGGTAGATTTCGTCAAATCACCAGGAATCTTATCAAAAAACTGTTTCAGTTCATCTTTGTTGGTACTGAACTGCTCTCCAGTTGCACCATCCAGATCGAACCCGAAAAAACCACCACCTTCCGTTTCCACATCACTATCGTCACTTGCATACGATGCTTGTAGAAAAGCCAATGCACACATCTCCGGTTTCGAATGATCACGGCACGAATTATTAAAAAACTTCCAAAGTTTTGCCGATAATATCTGTACGCACGATTCCACCTCGTTACAAGACTTTAATGCGAGCATAACGTCAAACGCAACGTTGTCATCAAAGCAACACAAAAAAGAACATGACGTAGTGGGACTGATATGCATAGAATTTCATGCTGCATGGCAAGTTTCTAGGCATAACAGTCCCACTGAATATTTACCGTTTAAAAATTAGCTTTAGTGAATGTAATTTTACAGTTTTCATTAAAACATAACAGTTATGTTCAAATGGGAGTAATATAATATTTTATAGTAATGTATATTACCTGCAATAAGCAAAACTCATTCGAAATTTGAATCGCGCTTTTCTCTTTTGAAACATTTGCAACATGGGACAGTTATGCGTAGAACGGCAGTACACCTCTCCCAAAATCCAGCGAACACTAGATTCGTCTGCGTACGCTGCAATTTCGGAGCTGCCGTCTGCGTACAAGCGTCAGCAGTACTCACTGCATACGTCGAACGTTCCAAAATGTCATGGAATGTTTTGGCGTACGTTGCGAAAACTTCTGTTGTTGTTTTGCAGCGCTGTACCTCAGCGATTCCTGCTGTGAAAACCGAATCTAATTCGGCTTTGCTGCACCTAAATCCATTACAAAAATTTGATAATCCCCCCTCAAAATCTACACTACTTTCTAATTCCTCATTAATATTGCTATCTAGTTTTATAGAATCATCATTTAAAATTACCTTATCATACTCCACGGTTGAGGCATTCTGGGTAGTTTCATAGCTGGTTTTTGGCACCTGTGGAACGTGCCTCCAAAAACTCTCACCACCCATCTGTTTGCTAGCTGTCTTAATAAACGGTTGACGGATGTAGTCAGCAACCGGTGACCTTACCTGGGAATATTCGTCGGTAACCGGTTGTGTTTTGGCCCGTTCACGACGGTCCCGCCCTGAGAGATTTAGCTTTGACGAAGCTGTCTTAATGTGCCTATACATGACCGCAAGCTCGCTATCAGGGTCGGACCGCATGAATCCCGGCAATTTAACCGGTTTAGCACTCCGGCCGGACCGGGTCTGACTGACATCACGACCATTTGCAACATTCTTGGCAAACATTCTGGATTGTGTGGTGCTTGGAAAGCTTGGTTGAAGAACTATTGAAAACACGTCCGTCTAATAACTACCTCAGAAGCCTCTTACCGGTTTTTTTTTTACTTTAAATCTAGATAGAGCTGGAATTAGGGCCTAACAGCTTTTGTAAACAATGACTTCTCTGGATGATTTCTAGAAATTCAAGGCTCACCCACGCAAACCAACATCCTCATCGGGTAGGGGAAGTCTTTCCATACCCGATGAGGATGTTTGTTTGCCTTAGTGAGCCTTGAATTGCTAGAAATCATCATGAGAAGTCATTGTTTACAAAAGCTGTTAGGCCCTAATTCCAGCTCTATCTAGAAATGATCTTTATTTCTTGTGATTGTGTGGTTTACATGTATGAATGAATTTTCAAGTGACACAGGTGCATCTTTTCAACATTTGAGATTTTTATTATTATTTACAGTTCAGGCCTACTTTAAAGTATGACCACCTTGGTGGGATTGGAAAAATAGGAGACTACTTATAACTACTATTTACAACTACAACTAACCTACAACTACTATATACACCTATCCTACTATATACAAATTGCTTATCAAAGCATGTTCTGATGAATTACATTTTTGTGCAAATTGAGTCTTAATTTCGTTAATTTTTCTAGTAGGTATTGCTCGTAGCAGAGAAAGACAGGATTGATTTAAACGAAGTTTATTACTGTAAACACAGTTTGATGGTTGGATTAGAACTAATTAGAACTTGGTGAAAATTCACTATTTATACCCTCCTAGTTGTTTATTGGTTACCATGGAGTCCTTGGTTATATACTTGCTGCCATGGTATCCTTTTGTTATTTACCTAGGTTGTTTATCCGTTGCCACGGCAACCTTCAAACAAACGGACCTGGCTTCGGCGTATCCTCGGCTACTTTGTTTCACACTCCCTCTCAATCCGACATTCCAAGGTAAGACGTCAGTTGTTGGAACCGGGTGGCTTCCAAAGGTTTTGTGAAGAGATCCGCCAGTTGATCACGGGTTCCAATCGGCTCGATGTGCAGTGTACCACTCTCCACCAGATCTCGTATGAAATGATGTTTCACGTCAATGTGCTTGGTCCTCTTGCTTTCTAGATTTTTGGCCATGCCGATGCATCCTCGGTTGTCTTCATAGATTGTCACTGGATTGGCAATTACTTGAAGGTCGTTCAAAATGCCGCTGATCCATACGGCCTCTGCTGCTGCTGCACTAAGAGCAACGTACTCAGCTTCACTTGACGACAATGATACGGTGGATTGTTTCTTGCTACTCCAGGATACGGTGCATCCATAGACCTTGAAAATGAAGCCGCTCACAGATTTTCGGTCATGAAGGTCGGCCGCCCAATCGGCATCGGCATAGCCTATGAGCGGTACTGATTCACTGTTCCTCTGGTATTCGAGACTCAGGTTTTTTGTCCCGCTAAGATACCGCACCACTCGCTTCAATGCATTCCAATGTACGGTTGATGAATTCTGCTGGAATCGCCCGAGATAACCGACAGGGTAACATACATCTGGCCTGACACAGAGCATAATGTACATCAAGCTGCCAAGCAATTCGCGATATGGTTCTTCAGCGCTAGGCCCACCTCGAGGTAGTTGTAGACCTTTTTCCATTGGAGTCTTGATCGGATTGCATTCACCCATTCCAAAACGATCCAGTACCTTTGTAACGTTGGATTCCTGTGACAGTCGCAAAGATCCACCATTACGGTTGTAATTGATCCGTATACCAAGAAAGTGTCGCAATTCTCCGCAATCGGTCATCTCAAAAACAGTAGATAGCTTCTTTTTTAGCTTGTTGATGGTGTCCAAATTTCTTCCCGCAATCAGAAGATTATCGACGTACAGGATGATATAAAGCTCATCATTCTCCTCGTACCTGACGTACAAGCAGTAGTCTCTCTTCGATCGTACGAAACCCAGTTTCTCGATCTGGCTAGTGAACTTCTGATTCCAACACCGTGGTGACTGCTTAAGTCCGTAAAGCGACTTTTGCAGCTTGCACGCCATCCCTGGTGCTGACTTCGTACCGTCTGGAGGACAAATGAAAATTGATTCCTTTAGCTCGCCGTGAAGAAAGGCCGTCTTTACATCCATCTGGTGAAAGAAGAAGCCCTCGTGAACACCAACCGCAAGGATGATTCTAATCGCCGCAAGCTTGGCCACTGGAGCGTACGTCTCTTCGTAGTCCAGTCCAGGTTTCTGCAGAAAACCCTTCGCGACAAGTCGGGCCTTGTACCGTACTATCCGTCCGGCCTCGTCCTCCTTAATCCGGAAAACCCACTTGGTTTTTAATGGCTTCACGTTAGCGGGGCATGGTACCATCTTCCACACCTGATTTTTCTCCATTGACTGCAACTCGTCTTGAATGGCTTGCAGCCACTTGTCTCGGTCTTCCCGAACTAGCACATGCTTGTAGGTTTCAGGAACATCCGGAAACTTGCGCTCCCGGTCGATACGCCTTGACGATTCTGCATGAGTTTCGTCACTATTTATTTGCGAAGGGAGCGCAGCGACTGTTGCTTCATCTGATATGTTGTCCTCTGGATCTTGGAGATGTTGTCCATCGTTGTCCAAATCTGATTCTTCATCGGCAGGTTCGTCTTCGGGCTCAGCTGCTTCCCCCTCTTGCTCGTACGAAGGTAAAACGATTAACGGCTTCTTTTCTTTTCTAGGCTCAGAAGCGTACGGGAAACAGGTCTCGTCGAAACGAACGTCACGAGCAATCACTACCTTCCTGCTTTTTCTATTCTATAGGCGGTATCCATTGGTTGCATAGCCGATCATGAGGACTTCTTGACTTTTAGCATCCAACTTTTTTCGGAGTTGCGTAGGGATCCATGCATACGCCTTGCATCTAAAAACACGAAGCTTCGACATGTCCGGCTTGGATCCCATCCAATATTCGGCCGATGTTACTCCTTCCAGCAACGCTGCGGATGGACTGCGGTTGATCAAATACACCGCTGTAAGAGCTGCTTCATTCCACATCTGCTTCGGCATTGACGAATCAAGCAACATGGTCCTCACTTTTTCCACAAGCGTTCTGTTGAAACGCTCAGCCACACCATTTTGTTGAGGCGTGTAAGCGACAGTTGCCTCAACCTGAATACCTTTCTTCTTGTAGTAGGCTTTCTGTGCCGTTGATCCATATTCCCGACCTTGATCCACGGTCAGTTTCGAAATCCGCGTGCCGAAATGAGCGGTTACCAGTGCTTCGTACTCCTGGAATTTTTCGAAGACCTCTGACTTCCGTTTCATGAGGTAAATCATAGCAAAGTGCGTTTTGTCGTCGATAAATGACACAAAATATTTCGATCCGTCCCAGGCTGGTGGATCGATTTGACCGCATACGTCCGAGTGAATCCGCTCGAGGGGTCGCTTTGCTCGGGTTCGTGTTCCATCGAACGGGTCTCGACACTGTTTGCCTTGAGCACAGGCATCGCAGAACCGATTTAGTCCAGGCTTGAAATCCACACCAGTGGCCAGCTCCTTTTGAACGATTTTGGCCATTCCACCTTGGCCAAGATGTCCTAAGCGACGATGCCAAAGTTCGTTGCGATCCACCTGGCAAACGTTAGCAACTGGATCACTCACCTTAATATCAAGCTCGTATAAGTTCCCCTTCATTGGTGCAGTAGCGATAACATCGCCATCCTTTTTCAGTACAGCTTTATTCTTGAGAAACAGCACTTCGACACCGACGGCCGCAAGTTTCTTCACTGACAACAGGTTTTCGCGGAGATCCGGCACGTAGAGAACATTCCTCACTTTCAGAAGCACGCCGTGGTTACTGTAGCCATTGATTTCGCCTTCGTCCTTTGCTACTAGGTTTTCACCATCCTTCGCCACATTGATCACCACCGGGGTCGGGAGTCTTTCAGTCGAGTCGAAAAACCGTTTTTACATTGACCACATGATCACTCGCCCCAGAGTCCAATTTGAAATTAATTGTGTTACCGTTTGATTTGGTTGACTCGTCGCGGCTCACCATAAAGCTAATTGCTTTCTTTCCAATTGCAGCATGCACTTCCTTCTTTGGGTTGGGGCAGTCCTTCTTCATGTGGCCTGGTTTGCCACAGTTGTGGCATTTACCCTTTAATTTGCCACCACGTCTGTCCTGGTAGTGTGCTGCGAAAACCGCTGGTCTGTCCTCAACAGTTTCGCCCATCCGATCAGCACGTTTTTGTTCTTCCGCAAGGAGCCGTTGCTTCACCAAATCCAAGTTCAAGTCTTCTTCCTTGATGTTTTCCAGTGCTGTGACGAGGGGATCGTATGAATCCGACAAGCTAAGGAATAGCTGAGATACGAGATCTCCATCCTCCAGGTTCGCACCAGCCGTTTTGAGTTGCCTCACGAGATCATCGAACGCCAAAAGGTGAGACCGCATCGAAGCTCCCTCCTTCATCCGTAGGCGTCCAAGCTGCTTTCGTAGGAGCGTTTGACTGGCCACAGACTTCTTGGCAAAAACTTCACGCAAGCTTGACCACATCTCTTTCGCGCTGCTTTTGTCCCGGACTACTTCCAGAACATCATCTGCCAAGAATCCTACGATGTAGCTCTTCGTTTTCCGATCATCTTCTTCAAACTTCGCTTTATCTGCTTCCACTGTTGGTACGTTTTCCGTCAATGTCCGCAGCACACCAGCTGCATCCAAAAACATCTTGACGCGAAAACTCCAATTCTCGAATCCCGGCCCTCGGAATACTGGGGAATTCCTTGCGCAGCTTCCTTCGGGGTGCCCATAACCTCTAGTAGGTATTGCTCGTAGCAGAGAAAGACAGGATTGATTTAAACGAAGTTTATTACTGTAAACACAGTTTGATGGTTGGATTAGAACTAATGAAAACTAGGTGAAAATTCACTATTTATACCCTCCTAGTTGTTTATTGGTTACCATGAAGTCCTTGGTTATATACTTGCTGCCATGGTATCCTTTTGTTATTTACCTAGGTTGTTTATCCGTTGCCACGGCAACCTT